ATAAAGACCTCGTTTTGGCCCAAAAAGAAAAGATTGAGTTCGAGAACCGCTCCGAAGAGCTCCGCAAGAAGTTGCAGACCATTAGCGCCAATTCTGGTGATGAGATAATAACACTTCAGCAACAGATTGAGGACTTGAGCGAAGATAACGACGCCATGAAAGAGGACACCAAGAAATTGACGGCTGAGTTGAAGGCAACGAAAGACACGTTTGAAGTGAGGGAACGGGAGAGTCGGGAGACTATAGAGGAGTTAAGACGACAGTTAGCGACGGCCGACACGCGACTCACTGAAGCGGCCAATGAGTTGTTGGCGAACAGCGCCGACAATACGGACACGAATTTGTTGCACAATGAGATATTGGCGCTCAGGGAACAGTTGGCGGAACTGGAGGGCAGGAACCGGTTGACCGAAGATAATTTGCAGACTAGTATCGAGCAATTGAACGCATCGGTGGTTGAGTACAAAGTATGTCTAAAATGTTTTATAAGAATTATTGAATTGTTTGAATGAAATGAGTTTTGGATTTATGGCAACATTTGTATGAATCCTATTGCAATCGATATGTATTGATATAATAGATATTCAATAAGTTTTTTGCCTATAGTATGAGAGAAACACTTATACTGAGTGTCTAACTGTGCCTAACTTATGGGTTATACATATCACACGGTGTTAACAGATATTTGTCTGCATTTTTCAGTGCCTTCTAGACGAAGCCCGCAATCAGGTCCAGAGGTTAGAGACGGAGAAGTTGTCGGCCATTCAGGAGACAAATCAAGTGAATCAGGTGTTGGAGAATGAAAGAGACAATCGATCGATGGTTAGCGAAGAGAACCAGCAGTTGAGGCAAAGGATACTGCAATTGGAGTCCGATTTGGGCGCCTTTAGCTCACAAAATGATTCCGTCCACGAGTTGACACAAACCATCGAAGGTCTGCGGACACAGAACTTGGAGTTGAGTTCGAGTTTAGAGCGGATGAAACAGATGTCGGCCGAGAGTCAGGATTACATGCAAAAGCAATTGGAAGCCATGGGAAGGGATACGGAGGGCGAGAGGTTGGCGTCGAGTCAGCGGATCATTGAATTGCAAAACACTGTCGAAACGATTTCTGCTGAGAAACAGCGCTTTGAATACGGTTTCTATGACTTACAGAATAGATATCAAGAATTTGATCGCTTATTGCAGACTAAGAGCATTGAATTGGGTATTGATATTGATTTTTGCGATCGTATTGTGCTTTTTCTCAATACATGAATATTTTTTGTTTGATTTAATGCTAAACTTTTTTGTTTTATATGTTTTGTTGTGCAGAGAGTTTGAAACAAACGGAAGACTCGTATCAAAAGCTGTTGAAGTCGTCAACAAATTTGAAGGAAGAGAAGGAACACCTCTTAAGTGTGTTATCGGAAAAGGAAGCGCTTATTGAGTCGAAAGATAAAGATATGCAGCGATTGATGGATGAGAAGCAACAGTTGGAGCTGACCTATACGGACAGGGATTACAACGTATCGGACCTCAATTCACAGATACAGGCCATGAATGAGTTGAACCAAAATAATCAGTTAAATAGCGAACAATTTGTGGTGAGAGAGCGTGAGTTGGAGTCGAAAATACAAGAACTGCAACACGAAGTGGAAGAATGCAAACGAGTCAATACAGACATTGAGTCCAAGGCTTCGGAGACTGAGTACGAGTTGGAGATTCTTAAGAGGAATTACGGCATAGAAATGGATAGCTTTGGAGCGCAAGTGACGGAAAGGGAGTCTCTGATAGAGAAGTTGCAGACGAGGAATGAGAAGCTGAAGAAGAAGTGGCAGAAGTCAGACGGAGTCATAAAGGAGTTGCAGGAAAAGGAGTCCCATTTGATGGCTAAACTGTCGGAATCGGATGGTCTCGTGAAATACGAACAAATGCAGAGACAGACGGCAACCGATTCGAGGATTTTCGAGTTACAGCAACAGCTGGAGGAAAGGGAGCGGGAGTTTCAGAACGATTTGGGACTCTTGAGGGTAGAGAACACCGGTTTAGTTGCGGCCGAACACGAGTTGAGGCGACGATGTGATGAATTGGAGCTCAGGATTAGTGGCAATAGTAGTGTTGAGACAGAGATTATGGGCTATCGTTCGCATATCGAGCAACTCGTCCAACAGTTAGAGTCGGAGCGCATTGAGAAACGACACGTTCAGGAGTTGTATCAATCGGTGGCAAACAGTGCCCAAAATCCCGATCAAATGAACCAACTGTTGGCTCAGATTGAGGCCGAAAAGCAGCAACAATTAGGTATGACTTTATAGGCCCTTAGATACGGTATTTGTGAACTAATGTGTCCTTATGTGATGTGTTTTGCAGTGAAATATCAGGAACTGGAGCTGAAGTGCAAGAAATTTGCGGCAAAATTCAAAGTGAAAGAGAGAGAAGTGTTTACTTTGGAGGCGAAGCTAAGGGTCGCCAAAGAGAATGAGTCGAAGAATGTGAACGAAGAAGATCTCATTGATAGCAGCAAACGGTGCGACGAATTGGCCAAACGGGTGGAGGAGCTGCAGCTGACGGCACAGAGTCTCGACGCAGCCCTACAGTCGGAGCGCCTCCGCAGACGTGAATTGGAGGCCGAGAAGCAACAGTTTTGGGGTCAGGAGTCCGGCGGAAGGGCTAGTAGTATGAGCTCAACGGATGGCGCGGACGGGTCGACCAGTTTCTCATTACTCATCGACGAGGGAATGGGAGATAAAAGTGGTTTGCATTCGGCGAAGAGATTCCTAACGAAACAAAAGCATAATTTATTGAGAGGTCCGCCGAGTGTGAGGTATCGGCGCTGGGCTATCGTAGTATATTTGGTTATATTTCACGTATTGTTACTCAAACTGTGCCTTTTTTAACACCCGTTCCTCACTATTATTATTACGAATAGACTTTAGATTTGATTTTTTAATGATTTTTCATTTTTATAAATAAATTATTTATTGTTAATTTTGAGGCAAATGTTTAAATTTGAATTAATTTATGTGTAAAATATTTATATTTAATATACATTAATACTAAACATATTATAATAAACGAGTTTTTATTTTCACAAATAAATTTAAAAGTTTAAATATTCAATGAATTGAAAAAATGATGGTAACATAGAGTTTGCAGTTATTGTGTACAAAATGAGTGACAAACTACTGAATTGAATCCGTATTTTTCGAGGGCTAATAGTAATTGGATTTCCTATTCGCACAGGTATTGCAAAGTATTGTACAGTTTGAGTGGTAAACCGTTTGAATAGTCTTTCGCTATTCTTATAATCAATTTGAAGGCATATAACCCCTGAGGAAAACACTTCATAATTGGTTGCATCGAGTCTTATGTGAGTTTTTCTATGAATCAATATATGAGTAGAAAAACAATTATTGAATAGAAAAGTATATGTAATTATGACTGTATGTATGGGCACTGAAACTGAGGGCACACCATATTTAGCTCAACAAACATTAAGTAAAACCCAGTCTTTAAATATTAAACGATTGTTTGGAGAGAGAGAGAGAGAGAGAGAGAGAGAGAGAGAGAGAGTCGTGTAGTTCATGTGCTTTTCAATCCATTATAATTTGGATGTAATTTACAGACTAAATGACTAATAAATGTAATGTTTGACTACAAAACATGTAAACCTCTCCATATAATGAGTACCAATCCCTTAACGATCACTAGAATTCACTTTTAAACGATAGTTATATCATATAATATAACAAATAAAACGGGTTCTTTAAATCACTGTAATATAACTCTAATTGAGAGTAAAGTTAAATTGCATTTCATTGAGAATTGACTGAAAAATGCAATATTTTTAAATTTAACCTAATAGTCGTTTATTTTATATTGAGATATAAATTAGTCAATGAATGGAAAGCACTATTCATTAGTATATTCCAGAATATTCTGTTGATATTCTCGTATCGATTGCATGTCATCGCGAATGCAATTATTAGGCTTTTAATGCTTTGCCTATAATATGATATCTATTATTAATTGAGAGCTTATTTCTAGCATAAAATTACTATAGATTTTACAATTATAATAAATTAAAGTAAGCAAAATATTTTTTATATAAACAACTTTCTATATGTTTATTGTAATTCATATATTATACTTGTATGTATAGAAAATCAATTAAATACATTGTCTATTTTCGATTCCATGAGGTTTGCCATTGATTTAGGAATTGAAAAACTTATCATAAAATACACATTTGACCAAAAAATATATAAATTTATATGAAAAACATAATAAAAACATAAATCTTTATATAAATAAATATTTTATATATAAATTGTTTTTTTCAGAGGAGGCTCTCTCTCTCTCTCTCTCTCTCTCTCTCTCATACTTTCTTTCACTTTCTTAAAGACTTAAGTTTTGAATGAAATAGAAATGAAAAAAACCAAAAAGAGTGCAAAAAAGCGCTGAAAAATCGATTCATATGTGATATAATTGTTTAGTCGAAAGCGTGTAATAAATTTGTCATACATTTGGGGCACAAAAGTGTTGGCATTAATTGGCACTAATTTATTATAAATCGTTTTGCGCTCTAATGAGTACTAACTGTTCAAAAAGAAAGTGCTTTTTATTTAAAGGAAAACACATTACAATTACAATGCATTCAATGCTATTTGTTATATACGGCACATAAAAGTCAATTGCATTTCCAATGGTAGGCATGACTTTTGTGATTTTGCTGACTCTCTCTCTCTCTCTCTCTCTCTCTCTCTCTCATCCGAAATAACTTATATATCCGTTCAAAAACTGATAACATTTTGATTGATTTTTTGATATAATATAATCTTTCCAAAAAATATTTATTTCTTATTTAATGATTCTTTAAGAATAAAACCATTATTTCTATGATATTATCAAAGTTTGGTTCAATAAAATTTTTTCTTGATATTCACTACAAATATTTGTATAAAATAATAATTTAACATTTGCCAAAATCCATAGATTTGACAAGAATTTCGAAAATAATTATATATTAATTTTCTAATAAATATGTAAAATTTATTAATATATTAGTTATTAATAAAACGGATATTTAATGAAAATTTAATTAAATTTTTTGATATTAACTTTTCAATGCATGCAACAGAATATTCCGCAAGAAATTTATGCATTACTAAAGCAATGGGTTTTGCATTCAAAACGTTTGGTTAAGATTTCAATTAATAAAACTCCGCAAAGAATTATGACTTCAAATAAAAACTCGTAACACAGAGAGACACAGAATATTCTTATCAAATTGAATGCAAATTTTTATTCGCCATATATTTTTATATATATCATACGATGATTTTAAATGAATGGTTCACTGAATCGCAGAATATATTTGTCTTCATCTCAAGACATTCATGTCTTAAGTAATAATCGATCGCAACGTCTACTCAAAAATCTAACTCTAATGAGAAAATAAGAGTTGAGTCGCCTTTTCAACAAACTTTTTGTATATATATATATATTGGAGAAAAAGCCGGACTTTTACAACACAAATACGATTCCGGCGTTTATTTTGTGTTGGAGTTAATGGTCGTCACAAATGGTGGTCAATATTTTGGGCCAAAAATTAGATTACGAATAAAAAGCATAATATTTTCCTATAATAACAATCATATATCAACTCAAACGTTGGTCCAAATTCAATGGCATAGAGTATCGCTGATAACAAACCATTTATTTATTAATACGATTCATAAGAAATGAATTACATATGATAAGGAAAAATTGTAGCTTTTATTGTAACTTATAAATATAAATTAATATTAAAATTGTTATTAAAGAAATTAGAATATTTTTGGCAACAAATGTTGGAAAATTTCAATTTATAAAAGTTTTTACACTATATTTGAAATGAATAAATAAATTACAGTGAGAATTGAATACCGGTTTCGCAATAAGAATAGAGATATTAGTCGAGAGATTTGTTTTGACACTCAAAGCCCACCACCAAAGACCCAGGATTTTATGATATAAGCCTTTCCTTTAAGCAACTTTCATTAACGGAATAATTAATTTCCTAAATCTATTTTAATTCAATTAATATTATAATAATTTCACTCAATTATATAATAATTACACTTTTTGTGCTTAACATGGTATGAATAAAAAGTGTTATATAATATTTTGTATAAATATTTTTATAAGAATTTTTACCGAAAATCAAATTATTATTTTTGTTCATTCTGTTTAACTATTAAACATTATATTAAAATCTATTAAATATAAACTTCAAGCTAGTACGGCATGAGTGAATGCAAAAAGTGCATTATATTATACATGTATATGCGGTAAGGCAATGAATAAACATGAAAAAAACATAGTTATGCATAAAAAATGAAAGCCAAAGCGAAAACTCCTATTCTATTCGTATGACAATAATTGATTGCAAAGCCGACACACAAACTTCATTAACATATTTAAGTGTTTGTTATATACTCTGCAAAACGTCATTCAAACGCAAATATTTGTAAAACGAGTTGTAAATGAATCAGTGATTCGTGAGAGAAAACTCAACCAAACAAATGGATAACATATAAGCAAAACCTGGTGTGAAATATGTACAGTTGGCTCGCAGTTTGCGTTAGCCATCCACACACATATCACTGTATATAACCGGGTTCAATTATGAAGGTCTACAAAATTTGTTGCCTCAAAGACATAATCAATGGCAAGAATTTTAGGGCAAAAATGTGCTGAAGAAGACATAACATAGAGCTCCGGCATGTGATGTGTCGGCGAAAAACTATATAAACTC